CCGGAGCATCCGCAGCGAGGAGCGTCGCCAGACTGGGAGGACCTCCGCCCCGGAGCATCTCAGACCCGGAACACCGCCCCGGCGCGGGACCCGGAGCAGCGCCTCGCCCGCAGCCGAGTTTCGCCAGACGCTTTTTCTCTCTGCGTACTTTCTGTTTCTTTTTCTCGTTTTCTTTTTCTTTTTTCTTTTTCAGCCTTCTCCAGTTGTCTTATCTGTTTCATCACCCTTGCGGCTCCTCTCCTTTCTCGTTCCGCGGAGCTAGGGGGGCAGCGGTTGCTGCTTCTCACCTCCCTTCTCACCTCTGCCATCGCGCCCCGTGTGAAGGGGGGACAGCCGCCCCGCCCCAGCCCAGGGACGCCCGCCTGGAGGTAAGGGCAGACCTGCCTGCTACCGCACCCCCTCCCACTGCCCCCTGCTGCCGGCCGGGGGGCGAGGGGCAACCCAGCCTCGGGGGCAGTGTGTGTGTGTGTGTGTGTGTGTGTGTGTGTGTGTGTACACGAAAAACTGGTGATTTCAGCGTCATCAACTTTCCCTGATAGTATAGTTTAGAGGTTAAAAACAGTCCTCCCCCCCATTTTTTTTTCTTCTGGAAAGGCGAGAACAGCTAAGATAAGTGATGGTTTTCATGTATTAAACACTTACCGGTGTCTGACACTATGTAGAAAACTTTCAGATGCATTATTGTCACTTACTCCTCCTACAGGCGGGATGAAGAATTCTTCCTGCAAGGAGGTAAACGCAAGCACAGAGATGTTCAGTGGTTTATCCAAGGGCATCCAGCTGCTGATCAATAGAGAGCAGACTCACACCCAGATTTTCTTGACTCCAAGCCTTTGCCTTGATCCGAGCTGCCTCCAGGAGTTGGAACCCCGTGGGCTGCATGACAGCTATCAGACAAATCCCCGCGGAGGAAGTCCGGTCAGAGATAGGCACCTGTCCCCGCATTACAGAGCGCTGTGCAGTGCGGGGATGGGGGCGGGGGGCACACTTCTCAATCCAAGGGTCTTGGATGGGCTGGGAGAAGGTAAATTTGGGGGAAACTGGCTTTGAGAGGTTCTGGGATAGTTGGAGAGCTTCCTTAAGCAGGCAAACATTGAGGCAGGTTGCAAGGACCGCGGGGACCTGGCAGCTGGAAGTGGGGAGGGTGGTTCCCCAGCACGACTAGCACAGGCATGCGGGGGTGGGGGGGACACAGGGGTAATGACAGCAGACATTTGTGTGACAAGGACTGTGAGACGCAGGTGTCTCTCCTGGCCTTGAGAAACCTAATTCGACACGAATTCTTTCTCCCTTAGAGTGGAAGTGTGTGCGTGCGTGCACACTTTGTGTCTGTGAGATGTCCAAGATAACCTTTCCCCTCTTTGCATTTGGCTGTTTTGTCACCTTAAGGGATGAATGAAACGCTGCAGAGAAAGAATTACGTTCAAAAACTACTGGTGCTGTGGGGCAGAAATTAAGGATACTTCATAAAAAACGGGGGGTGGGTGTAACTCAGTGTTACTGCGCGCTTTGCATGCACAGGTCTCGGAGTCAATCCCCAGTATCTCCATTAGAAAAATCCCAGTTAATTAGAAAGGAAGGGAGGGAGGGAGGAAGGAAGGAAGGGCGAAAGGAAGGAGCACTGCTGGTATGATTCTCATTGGCAGGTTCTCTTAGGAGGCGCTCAGTTACATGTCTGTAACGCTGATCAGAGTGAGGCGATCTCCATCTGTTAGTGTGTGAGTCAGTGTAATCCTCTGTAATTTGAACTTGAACATTTCATCTGATCGAGTCTCAGGCTCTTGATCAGAAAGAACTTTGAAGTGGCCTAACAACTCTTGAACTTCTGTGAACTGTTTTTTCTAGAGAGCAGTCACTTTTGTTCGGGGTAGGGTTTGTGAACGGAAGTCCGGCAGAGCGAGGGGCTCAGGAGCTGGACGTTCGGACGCTCGGGGAAGGGGTGGTGTTGGAACCGTGCAGCCCTGGGGGCAGAGAGAGTGGTCCTCTTGTATCTGACCCTTGCCCAAGGTCGCACAGGTTTTGGAAGAGAATCTTTTTCATTAAGAGAAAACTTCATGCCATTGGGTGATTGAGGGTAAGTTTGTGAGTATTCTGTGTGTGTGTGTGTGTGTGTGTGTGTGTATATGCATATGAACATAAGTATCTACATATAAACACATACACATATTCATGCACATATATTTATGTATCTTAACTATTAGGTATTGTTATTAAATGTATATTTAAGATATTTTGAATTTACTTTTCTTAAATTTAAAAAAATTTATTTCTTATTTATTTATTTTTGAGGGGGGCGGTAACTAGGCTTATTCATTTACTTATTTTTAGAGGAGATACTGGGGATTGAACCCAGAGCCTTGTGCATGCTAAGCATGTGCTCTACCACTTGAGCTATGCCCTTCCCTGCTAAAATTACTTTTAAGTATACAAATAAGTCCCCTAGATCAGGGTCTCCCTACTTCAGCTATATCTTGGGATCACCTAGAGGAGTTTACAAATCACCCAGGCTGTACTCCAGATGTCTGGGTGGAACCTAGCCACCATTGTTTTTTTCCAAGCTCCAGGTAAGAATGAGTGCCCCAGTTGTTAAAACATAACTTCTCAGGATGTTATGATTTAAGAAGCATGTCATAGGTAGAAGGTTATCTTAATCTTTCCACGATGGATCAGATAATCACCTAAGACTCCAAACTGTATATATTTTATGAATTTAATGCATTCATCAATTCAGCGAAAAACAAACAAAAAAGCAAGCCTGAAATAATAATATGTCAGCTAGTGATAAGTGTTACGAGAGCAAAACAAAGCAAGCTGGGAGAGCAGAGACAGAGAAAGAGGGTGGTGTGCGTGTGTGTGTATTTGCCCTTGAGCAGATGTTAGATTTTCCATAAATTGCTCAGGAAAGCCCTGTACCTTATACCTACAGTATCAACCAACTGTAAAGGAAAGACAGGACTGTTTAACTAATGACAGAGAAATAAGTAGTAGCCATTTGGGGAAAATAAGTTAAGTTAGACCCTGTCGTCTTACCAAACAGCAAAATTAATCGTTAATGGACAAAAAATGCAATGCAAAAAGCCCACTGAGCCATACAAATGAAGAAAACACAGGTAAGTATCTATCAGATTATTGAGGGGAAAGGAATGTTCTAAATGTGAAAGTTAAGGAAAAATCACAAAGCAAAAGAATGATTGGACTGACTTCATAAATGTAAAATCGTCCATCTGTGAAGACATCAAAAGAGGAATTAAAAAGGAAAACTAAACACGTTGGGGAAAACGCTGAACATTTAAGAACTGGACAAAAAGCATGAAGACAAGGAAATGAAATAGCTAAAATACATGATGAATATTTTACCTCATTTATACCAATAAAAAAGCATACTAATAAACCATGAGATACCATTTTATCCATTTAAATGCCTAATTAGATTTAAAGACTGAGAACGCTCAGTGCTCATGTGGATGTGGTGGAGAGATACTGTGCTGCGCTGCTGAGGGGGCGTGAATTCTTACAACATGTCTGTGTGCAGTTTGGCGGAATGCATTTTCATGTTTAAAATGTGTGCTTTGACTCATAGATTGTAGTAGCAGCAAGAAGAGAGTAAGAAATGTAGACAGACAATAGCAGGGCAGACACTTGGCCACCATCCCATCAGTTCTGGGAGGCAGTGTTGTTACCCCCTTTCATGGATAAAGAAATTGAACAGAGATGGTAAGTGACTGGCCTGATGCTATTCAGCTGGTAAGGAGTGCAGTGAGGATTCAGATCCAGCCAGTTTGGCTCCAAAAGCCATGCTCCAAAAACTGACTCATAGCCTTACATGGGGAGGTGGCCGGGGGGGTTATTTTATAGTAAAATACGTCTTGTAAATTGAGATATCTATATGAAAGAGTATTGCGTGGCAGGTAAGATGATGTTAACCAAGAGTATTTTGTGACATAAGAAAAAGCTGTTTGATTTAGTAGGAACTGCAGGATATGAAATTATTTAAATATTTTATTTGAAAATATATAGAAAAAAATACAAGAAAGGACCAAAGTGTGGTGCATGTTGAGATTATTTGCTTCTTTTCCATCTTCATTTTGTAAATGTCCTACAATGGGCTTACAGTAATCTAGAAATCAGGAAAACTTTTAAAGAAAAAAAGAGAGAAAGAAAGAGGAGGAGAAATTTTAAAATTACAGAAAGACCAAAAAAATGGTACCAACCTCAAACATAACACTGAAAAAGAAAAACACACCAAAATTCCTACATGCAAGAAATGTAATATTTATATTCTCCAACGTAGTATCTATGACATTTCTCAGGATAACTTTTCCTTTGGAAATAAGTTCCATTATTTAATATCTTAATCTTTTAAATCCACAAGTACATTCAAAATTATATATACACACACACACACACTCACACACAGAGCAGTGCAAATATCAGCTAATCTGTGTACTGGGATCTTAACATGTTTCATTTTGAAACTGAGAGTTAACTCAGAAGAATTCTGAATTTCTCATAATAACTTTATCTCTTAGTAGACCCTGAAAATTAAAAAAAAAAAACACCAGAAAAACCCCAACAGTGCCCTTTACAAGACTGTGTCGACCTTAACCAGAGGAAACGACACTTTTCATTCTACCCGAGGTAGGAGGATATAGTTGATAATAAAGTGTGTGTGTGTGTGCACGTGTGTGGGTGGGGGCTGATTTCAAACCATAGACATATTCTAATTTGATGATGAATGGCTGGTACTTTCCATACATACTTATCCCCTTTGTCTTTACATTATTGATTATTATCTCTTGGAAATTACATCAAACGCTTGGTGATGGTACTCATAAGGGTTGATGTAAATGGCTTGGCACCTCAGCTATTAAATGTTGTCAAGGGTCTGGGTGCTAACAGTGCTCTGTTTTCATATGGGAGGTGAGTGACAGCTGTCGGGAGAATTACTGGGGGCTGAGAGGCTACCGTGCACCCAGGAACCCTTCATAAATATATTTGCTCATTTAATCACTTAGTACTTTTGGAGTTAGGCTTTCTTATCAACCCCATTTTGGTAATGAACAGACAGGCTTCATGACTTCTAAGTATCTTGCCCAAGGTTATGCAGCTTGTCAAGACTTAAGTAGGAATCCCAGCCCAGTTTTGTGCGTCCCAGAAACCAAGCTCTTTCCATCCTGCTGTGCTTCCTCTGTCCAGTGGGGCTAGATGTTTGGTACACAAGGGACATGGGATTATTTATGAAATATTCAGACTCGGTGGCTGAGGCCCAGTATATCCTTCTTACACTCTCTCTCAATTTGTAATCAGTAGAACAAGTGATGGTTTGGAGTAGGATCGAAATTCAGCAGATTTGAGTTCATTGAGTCGATGTAGATTAGGGATCTGGGTTGTAGAAAATCCCCATTTTGTGCCTCCATTTTCTAGAATAAACACTATGGTCACATGAGTGTAAACTTGTGTACAAACACACACACACACATCCCTATTCCTCTTTAACAAGTATTAATGAGTGCTTACTATGTGCAAGGCATTGACTTTGGTGCTACAGTGATGAACAAAACAGACTTAGTTCCTAACTTATGAAAAACTTAGTTCTGAAGAAAGAATATCGGTATTTAATAAAAAAGGACACCTGGAACACACACACACACACACAATTCTACATGGGCAGACCGTTCATTCATAGGATGGATTTTCTGGAAACACTGTTGTCCCCCACCTTGACCTTGTAGGTAAGATTCAGTTGACCAGGACAAAAACACAGCAGACTCTGTTGTATTAGAAAAATTGCATTATTTAAGGATTTCCAAAATTTGCTGCCTTGAAATGTTAATCATTATACATGGTTGAAAGTACTAAAGGAAACTAGTGACTGGATTGAGGGATATGAAAATTTGTTGGGCTGATTTTCAAAAGCCTGTTTGCCACAAGACTTTTAAAACCTCCTTCATCAGACAGGTGTGCTTTTGTCTGAGATCCTTGGCTGAACTTGTCTTATTCTGTTTTCCAGAGAAACCATTTGAAGCAAATCCTAAACATGCATCGTAGAGAAATACCCTTGACATTTTTGATGCTTGCGTTTTTGGGCACTACAGGTAAGTCATTGTAATCAGTCACAAACATACTCCGTTGGTAGTCTAGAGAGAATATCAGAGCTTTGCTTTTTTAGGTGGAGGTGACCACTGAAGATGCTGAATTTTTTTACATTTGTGATTTAGAATTTTACTTTAGAAAGTTGCCAGCCATTTGGTACCCCTAGCCTAGAGAATAAAAGATTCATAGGAGTGGGGTCAAGGAAAGACTCGTATGGGGTCACTGATAAAGAAAAAGTTCAGCTCTGTGAGTTTACACAGAGAGAACAGGACGTGAACACTTGCATCACGAAACTGTCTGAGCTGAAAATTTGCTTCATGCTGTTTGCAACCGAAGAGATCACAGCCATCTTTACTACTGAGTTTTAGATAGTTTTGCACACTTAATTTCCGCCCTGGCATGAAGGCAAAGATCCACCTCATTATTCAGCTAATGAAGAAAGTAAACTGGAATACCTTACAGATCTTAAAGAAAATGTTCAAGTTAGAGGGAGCATATAAGAAAGAGATTGGTTGGACCAAGAAGGCAGGCAGGCTTTGTATCAGGTGTCAGGTACCCATTTCAATTCATCAGCTGTCAATGCTTGAAGCTCATTCAGAAGGATCCTGAGGCCTGAGCAGGGACCTCTGAAGACGAGTCCCATGATTGATTGACAAGGTCCTCACAGGCTTTGGGAGGAGAAAGCTGGGGCACAATGATTGGTTTGCCGTGATCTACTGAATGGGAGAGGGAAGGCGTGAGCTCATATCCCACACATTGAGAATTGCTGATGAAGAGATTACAGTTAGGTCACTGAAGCTTTCAAATAATTCAGGTCCAATATTGGGGAATAGGTACCTAATGGGTCTGTGTACTGCTGAGATCTGAACAGTGCAAAGCTACCCAGATGCTGAAGGAAAGAGGCAAGTCTGCTCTTCCTGTATGGAAGGACCTGTCCGAACAAGTGAGAGAGACCAAGGTGCTGGAATGTGTGCATCATATGAAAGGATCTCTTGCTGTATGGACATACACTGATAACCTTGCCCCCAAGTTGCAGTAAAAACATGCTGCAGGCTTCAAAACAGCCATGCGACCTGTGCTGTAAGGAAGCTAAGGTCCCAGCTCTCTGTCCTTTGAGGTGTCTGAAAAGCACCTTTCATGCAGGGTTCACTCTAGGCAGACGTGACAGTTTTCCACGAGTCGGATTCATTTAGCCCTTGCTGAAGTTAGGTGATCCTGTTACTGTCCTGACTCAAGACAATTCCAAACGCAGACATCATTGCAGAGAGGTTAGGTCCTCGACCTTGCTGGGTCCTTGTGCTCTGTTCAGGTAAGATTAGGAGTGTGTGCTGGGCTGTCCCCGCCCTTTGAACTCCATTCATGTCTCTAATCAAAAACCATTTCGAATCAACAAAACCTGCAATGTTAAACATAAGATTAGACCTCTGAAACCATTCGTTGCCTGGGGAGTGTGAACTTTCAACTGCCGACCGTGCGCCCTGGAGAGAAAGCATCCCAGACCAGGTTGCTTTACGTGATGACCGCCTCAAAGAGGAATGAGTGTCTATGTCTGTACAAATTCGGGGGTTCATAGAAGCTTGTTAAAGATTGGCTCAGACCTGGAGATCACCCAGACAGTCAACACTGTTAGAATGGATAAATAAATCGTCAAATACTAACACAATTGGATACCACATAACTATGAAAAAAAGAACAAATCACCGCTACGTGCAGCAACATTGATTCCCAACCTAGACAAAAAGATGCATCAATGGTCCAGACCAAAGAAGAGTGTAATGTATGATTTTTGTACTCTGTTATACGCATATTATGCCTCTAAAACAGGAAAATAAATTAAGTTCTTAATGAAGTACCGTGCTTTGGGGTGTCAGTGAAAACTAATACCCGCATTTACACATGTATCACACTTTCTAAGTTCAAGTCCTGAACTGTAAGATAGAGATTTCGTAACAACCACCAGACTCAGGGTTGATGCTCATTAACTCTTACGCTTCGAGGTAGGTTTGACATCCATGTTTTCAAAGAATTGCTTCTCCCGTTGGAGCCACTTCCTCTTTACCTTGCGGTTAGCAACACTGAATTAAAACCAGACGGTTGCTTTGCAAAATAAACCCCAACCATAGAGAAGGCACGATCTCCATGCCCCCTGAGAACTGCTCTGCCCAGTATAAGGGTTCTCATTCTCATTCTCAAAGTGCAGTCAAAGGAAGCTGCCGGAGGACAGGATACAGGGAAGGTCCACTCATGCTGACTTCGAGCTGTTGGAAGTGAAGGAGGAGGCAGGTGGTGACCCTGTGTAACCAGAAGGATCGGAGAAATGTCCAAAGCTAGAGTTACCTGGGTTAGTTGAGAAAGAAGGAAGTGGGGAGAGAGAGAGAGAGAGAGCGAGATCAGAAAGGGGAAGTGACAGATCCCCTGATTTGGAGTGAATCAATATGAATTATTCATCAGTGTGAATTATATGAATCAATTCTTGATCATGCACATGGTAACCTTGAGGGGTGCTGGACTTACAGACGCATAGATGTACCTTTAACCATCCCCACATCTGCCTGGGGAGTGGCCAGGGAGACTGACTGAGAACAAGACCTATGAGACTTCTGATGATGCAGATGAAAAACTGAGGTCTCAAGGTTTTTGTTTGTTTGTTTGTTTCCCCCATGGAGACTCCTCACTAGGGACGTTTTGGTGTAGGTGTGGCAACACTGTGACTCTGGTGGCTTTCCTTGAGAGGAAGATGTGATGTGTAACATTTTCTTTTAGAAGATTACAGTGCATTTATCTGTCTTCTAGCTTTGATAGGTTAAGTTATGTTCTGAAAGTGCCTCTGTGTTAGAAAGATTGACTGTCTCTTAGAGTTAGAAAGACAGACCCTAAAATAAAAGAACCCACAGAACTGAGACATTGTGATTTCCCAGGATGTCCTTACCAACCTGCTTCTTCACTTGGTGCATTAGGGAGGAAATTCACCTTTGTCATGCTGGGTTTGTTTTTTCTTGTACTTTGCTAATCTTTAGAAGGAACCTGTACTTCACGTCTGCACATTACTGCCTTCGAAGGGGAACCTTTCTATCTGAAATACTGCTCCTTTTCATCTGAGCGCGAGAACAAATCCACCACCATAAAATGGTACAAAAATGAATCACGTGGACTTGTTGAGCTGAACCCAAGTCATTCACCCAGAATTATTCTGCATGATTATGTTTTGGAGTTTTGGCCCATTGAGCTAAATGACAGTGGATCTTACTCTTTCCGAATGGGGTGAGTACACCTTCTTGTTAGTATGTTTCACTACTGGACTTCGTTCAACAAATCAAGTCTCCACTAATTGGAAGGGTCAGATAATCCATGTGTTTTCGTCTCCTTACCCTTCCTACACCAGGAAATAAATACTTCATTGTTGAAAAATTAACTTAAACACTGCCCTTGTGTTTATGTTCTTAGTGATCCCAATGAAAGGAGATTAACTTAATACAATTTATGTTTAGGCGATCCTGGACAAAGGTAAGTGACGACTGAATGAAACTCATTTAAAAACTCAGCTGCTTCTGTTGTCTAGAGTCATGGTCAAAGGAAATAAATGGCTAGGGCTTCACAATGTTATAGACATGTAGTGAAAGGGATCAGTGTCAGCTTCGAGGGTGGTTACTTCAAGCCAGGGTGGCAGTTGGAATTGGTGTAGACACTTCCTAGCCCAGTTTCCAGGGCTTTGCTGAGAGCAGGTGGCAGTGCTGGTGAAGGGTACGTGTGTTTGTTAGCCCATCACAAACCTAGAGCCGGGGACAGTGAGAGGGGGCTTTGCACGGCCGTTTCAGGACATAACCCTAGATTCTTCCAGGATATTCACAGTCAAGAATCCTAAGTTCTGTGAAATGGTGGCAACCAACTGAATTGTGTCAATGACTGTTACTGACCTTGGTTCTCTTCTTTATATTTTATTTGGTGAGATGAGGTAGGAGTAACTGTGACAAGAAACCTTCTATGTGATGGACTATTAGCGAGAACACTGATGACACAGTGTTTATCTGGTACGTTTGTGATGTGTACGAATGTATGTATTTCTACAGAGATTTGAGACTCACCTGTAGAAAACAGCTCAGGGCCAGGTGAGGGGTGACGGTGAGCTTCTCAGACATGGGAGTGAGTCCCGAGTGTTATCCGTGGTGCCACTGAGAGCGCAGTGAGATATCACAGTGAAACTTTGATATCACTTCTGTGGTTTTGCACAAATGAGATCATTTGGGTTTGTTTTTAGACATAGAAACTCCCAGGAGTCAAAGAGACATTTGAAAATTCTTTTCCTTTAACCAGTGAATTTTATGTGAACTTATAAGAGGGATGGTTCCAGAAATGGGTCACCACTGGGTTTTTCCACACTGAGGAGGAGCGTGCACTCACAGCTGGTGTAGAGGAAGCACGTCTCCCTAGTCCTGACTGAAGAAAGGCGTGAGTTATGTGCACAGACTGTTCTGGGCAGAAAGAGCACATGAAAGGCAAGCGCTGGTTATCTCTGAAGGTCCCTGGGAGACAGGTGGGGCTGGGGGGCATGAACTGTCCTTCTGTTATGGGAGTTGGAGAACGCAGCCTGGATTGGGGAGAATAAGGGGAGTCCCCAGGTGGAGGTAGGATATCGGGGAGGCACAGACAGACCAGGAGGAGGACAGGGACGGTGGGGAGGCTCACAGTGCTGTGTGATGAGCGCTGAAAGTGATGGAGGCTGACGATTAACGTGAGACTGCGGTGATGGTGGGAGCAGCAGCCTTGACAGTGGTTTTGAAAACAAATGGGAGCCTTCATGGGAGTGAGTTGTTCTGGATGCCTGAGAGCATTGAAGATAGAAGCTTTTCAAGTACAGTGCAGCTGGTGAACAGTATCTTGTGTTTGCACAGAGGGGTGTGTGTATGTGTCCATGTGTGTATGGTGTGTATGTTTTATGTGTCCATCTGTGTGCGTGTGTTCATGTATGTGTACATGCATGTATGGTGTGTATGTGTCTGTGTGTGCATGTGTCCTGTGTTCATGTATGGGTGTACATGTGTGTGGTATGTGTGTCCATGTGTATATGGTGTCCATGTGTGTGTACATGTGTGTACGTGTGTACATGTGTTCGTGTGTGCGTACATGTGTGCATCATTTGGGTGAGTGAGTCTTTGTAGTTCTGTGTGGGATTCATCAATGACCAGACCCTCCTCCTGGACGCCTTCCATTAGAAGTGTCATCCTATAATTCTTCAGGAATCCTCTACTGATAATCAAATGCCTTTGGAGACTGATGCTTTAAACCTGCAGTGACAATCACTTTGTCAGCGAATTTTTGTGGAAGTACAGTATTGTGCAGAGCACTCTTGGCCTTGAGGGCCAAACAGACGTGCATTTGCATCTGGTCCTTATTGTGAGCTGGGTGTGTGACCTTGGGAGAGTCATTTAACCTTGCCTGAAGATTAGCTTTCATATGGCATTTTTCTTTCTCTTTCTGGTGCACTTCACTTACGTTTCTATTTCTCATCAGAAGGAACTACAATGAAATGTATTCAAACTGACTTTTGCTCAGTGAGGCACTTCGGGGCCTAAAACAACTACTCGGAGGGTGGCCGCTCCAGACGTGGTTTACTCACCTAGTAAGAGGACTGGAAAAAAAGCGCCATGAGAAATATAAAACCTGGTGCATATATACGAACTTCCGGAAGACATTGTAGCCCTCATGAAACCACCTCCACTCCCCCATCCTGGGTTAAGAGTCTTTGAACCTGATCGTCTCTAAAGATCATTGAAGTTTTAAACATTTCTATCTTAAAATGTACATTATATATGGTCTGGTGGAGGCTTGTGTGTGTATGTACTTGTGTCTGTGTGTGAGTGTGTGCTGAGGACACCTCAGGGTTTTTTCATTCACTGCCCCTTGCTCACCTCCCATGACAGTTGTTAATTTTTTTGCTGCCCTGAACCTAAAAGGAGCAGAACAGGATTTGGGCATCAATGAATGAGTCCCCTTACACAAAAATAAGGGCAAATTTTCACCAAATCAGTTACTAAAAGCTGGTATTTGCAAAGTCTCTGTATTCATTATAAAATATTTTTAAACCTTTATTTCCTAGGAATGATACTCACGACTGGAAATTAAATGTCGTTGGAAGAGGTAAACACAGCTGTTTTACTGAGAAACTAGTAATTAGTAAAGTTGTGGAAGTTAAGAAATCTTTGCACGTAGCCTGCGAACATAGTTACTATCAAAAACCGGTCAACAGAACGCTGTATAAGGTAATGTCTTTACATTTTTAACTTACAACTTGATAGAAAAGACAAAATTCCAAAATGACGGTCTGATGGCTGTGGAACATTTCGGTCTCACGACATGCAAGCTGTGAACCCACGCAGCTCAGGTGGCCGCGTGGCCCACCACACCCCACATGGGGCGCAGCTTCCGCGCACAGCAGGTGTTCAATAAATGATAACAGCTTCGTCTCCCTTCCTTCGTTTTCCTTCCCTTTCAGGAAATTAATTTTTAGGAATGCTAGTTCATTTCCTTCTGCCACATATACTTAACATTTTAAATTCTATAGTATGTTTGTTTCCTGAATATATATGAGTTTATGAAATTGGAAGATGAAAAAATGAATAATGAAGATAGCAGAGACCACTCAGCTGGAGGCTGGGGGTTCTTCTGTGTCAACATCTACCTTTAAAAAGTGGTGGTTTTCCTTTATTCACTAAAAATTATACCGTGACTATATCCCCACGTCTTTAAATATTCTCCTAAACATGGGATTCCGTTGTTTATACACTTGTATCGAATTGATTCCATTGTTATACACTTGTATCTAATTGATTCTGTTGTGTATACACTTGTATCTAACTGATTCCCTGTTATTGGACATTTGTTAGTTTCCTGCTTTTCAATATTATTTATAAGAGTAAAATAAATATCATTCCCCTAAGCCTTATGGTGTATTATGATTTTATCTTTTAACCAAATTCATAAAAGTAGAATTGTTAGGTAAAAGGCAATGAGCATGTTTATAGCTTTGGATTTACACTGACAAACTGTTCTCCAGGGAGCAATACCAGTTGAAAATCCTTTTTTTTTGTACCAGTACCATAAAAGGATGAATACTTCAAAAAAATTTAAAAATCTGACATGCAAAATTTCTGTAACTCTGTTTCCCCATTTCTCTTCTTAATAATAAGTTAAACATTTTTATGTATTTATTGCGTCTTAGTATTTCTTCTCTTGTGAATTGTCT